AAAATAAAAAAATCAAACTGGTTGAGGTGTGATGACTTCATTCTCGTAATTTGACGACTTTATTCTTGTAATATTAAAACTTTGACCGCCTCTTGAAGCTCATCAAAAGAACGCTAAGAGTGTTTGAAGCAGTAATCGAAGCAAAAGGTAGCTACTGAAAACCTAGAATATAAGACAGAATTTATTTTTTAATTCATAGTTTTGAGGCCTTCAATGTGAGTCTTTGTTTCATAGTCATGAAAATGAAGAAAACTCTTTAAATGAGGTTTGTCCAAACATTTGGTCTGTACTATACGTCATTATTTCCATCTGATATCGATCAAATAAAAGTCTTGTGAAAAGGCTCCATAAAAATCCTCTAATTTGACGCATTAGAATCGATTATTACGACTTAAAAGCGAAAAGCTGAACGTATAAAATGTTTAAATGAACTTTCTGATCTCATATTTCCTCCTTTATCGCTGCTTTTCTTCTGCTGATGACCTGTTTGGATCAGTTCTTTTATCCAGCGGCTGAACTAGCCCACATCATCAACCCTCCACCTCCGTGCTTCAGCGCTCTGACCCTCAGAGTGACGCTCCTCTCAGGTCGTTGCTCTCGTCTTTCAAACTCGGCATTGCGAGATGAGCCTGGAGGAGAGGAGACCGAAGGTTGCTGTGAGGTTTGGAGGTGGAGCTGGCGTCATCAACAGCATGGAAGCACGGAGGTGGAGGCGTGGTGGTTGGGGCTGGTTCTGGTGGTGCTGATTGGACCAGAAGTCTGGTTTTAATGACTGAACGAGATGCTTTCTGTGTCGCAGGACAGAAAAGTCATCATTAAGACCATGAAGACCTACATGGTGAAATTCGCCACGGTGAGTCCATCGCCGATCCGATCCAATCCGACCTTCAGTCACCGTCTGACCCACTAACCCCCCTCCATCCACAGGGGGAGTTCGGTCACATGGTCCTGCTGGCCATATTCGACTGCGTGGACGACACCAAGCTGGTCCGCCAGGCGGTTCTGTCGGTACGTCCTGCTCTGAGGGTTCTGCTGAGGAACATCCAGAGGAACCTGACGGCTGCTTTCTGTGCAGGAGATCCTGGCGGCGCTGCCTGAGGTCCTCGGGAACAAACACGGCAAGAAGGTCCTCCTGTACCTGCTGAGCCCCAGAGACCCCGCCCACATGCTGCCGGAGATCGCCAGGGAGCTGGAGCAGGGAGACGGGAACGCTCACAGGTACCGAGAGCCGACCGGAACCGGCTGCTGTTCTGTCAGCTCAGCATACGGCGTCAGGCCAGCATACCCTCATTCATACGTATGACAAAGACTCCGCTCTCCTTATAGCCAATCACGCCGTTTTACTTCCCGATTTAGTCCGATTTTTGTAGTTGTTTTGTGCATAAAACAACTAAAAAACAGTCCTTCACTAGGTCCACCACACATTAGCTTTAGAAATGTCTGTTTGACGAGGATCTAGTTAAAGAACGATCAAGATTTTTGATTATCGTGGAGGATTTTCTCGAATTTTTTAAAAGACCCGCCCTCTCCGATTTAAAAAAAAATATAAAAAAATGCACGTGTGAGAGTTTAAAGACACTGTTTTCATTGCTCATGCAAGTTTACCGTGTGTGAACGCCATAACCTTAAATTCATCCATCACTATATAGAGCAGGGAATGTAGAGTTAACTGGCCGTTAAGACAAATGATCACTTCCCTATTGGTCCACTGCGCCATCTTTGGTATTAGCAGGCCGCTGTGACAGCAAATCCCATAATGCTTTGCGAGGAGAGCTCTCAGCGCAAAGCATTCTGGGATATATCTGCCTCTTCTGAGGCCTTATTTTTTTCTCATCCACTTGGTTGACACTTTTTCTCTTCCGACCCTCGGCCATTTTCAAAGAACCAGAAAGGTGAGCTTCAATGAGCGTCTGAAACCGTAGCTCACTACAGATATACGCCTGAACGTGCGCAGAAAAAGCTAGCTAACGGGACGAGCACGTAGGACGGCATTACGTAAACATGCTGTTAGGGTTGTTAAGTTTCCCAAACTTTAACCTATAAAAAATGAAACAAAGACGGCGTAAGATTTTTTCTGGAATGCTTCGCAAAGGGGAGACAGAGTTGAAGAATCAATCTCTGCATCATCGCTTGGCTCAACACTTGCCAGGCTTTTTATTGAGCAGTCAACACATTACATCAGTTTAGATTACGCAATCTCTTAGACATAGCATGAACCTTTAAGATGGGGAACTTGCCTGGTTTCAGCATACGCTTTACAAAAGGTGTCGGGGTTATGACCTTTACACTCCTCTGCTTCTCAAATGAAAAACAGGAAATCATTCTTGCGAAACATTTGACTTGTCTTATGACCTTCATACACCATTTCCAATGATGAGAGTAATATAGAATATATAAAAGAATAAAATGATAAAAACAACAGAAATAATAGGAACTCCAACAATATCACCAGAATGATTGACAGTTCGGAGGACCACTTATTTAGACGAACCAATTGGAAATAAAAGATGGTCCTCTATGCCTTTAATTCCTTCAATCCTCTGATGAATGAATGAATCAATAACCTTCCTGCAAGTGGAAACACAAAAGAACAAATGCAATGATTGGATATCTGCTCAGCAGAGTCAAAACTGAGAGAAGAACTGAATAATTAAAATCACCACTCCACAGTTATCCCTTAAACATTATTTGTCCTCAACAAAGAAAAAGACAGAAGACTCCATAACCAAGGTTTAGCTGTAAATAAAAGATCAACCACCAGGGGGAGGTAGGGTGCCTTCGCCTTGGAAATTCTGTGTGCCGACACGTTGACGCCACCAGGCGGTGCAAAGGGGCACTACACAGACTGGCCACTAGGGGGAAACAATGCGTTCGTTGATGTAATAAAACTCCTGCAGCTTCTTTAAAACATCCCAGATGACAGGATAGGATCTTTATTTTTAGTTTTTTAATTAAGAGCGACATCCAGATTATTTTTATTTTTATAGATTTTTACAGCACATGAAGAACTAGTGAAATAATTTTCAGATTATAAATGGATTCATTAATTCCTCTGGTGAAAAGTAATGACTTTAAGGTTTGGATTAGGATTAACTCTGTGATAAAACCTACTGAGGCTTCTGGAATAATCTGAATCCGTTCAATGGGACGATAACCGCTGATAACGATCATGGACGCATGCGTGTTACTAAGGTTACGCTGAGCTGACAGATCACCTGACCTTCGGGTTCAGCGGCGTTCAGCTGTCGGTTCTATTCCTGGTTCAGTCACTGAGGTCATCAGAACCGGTCCTCTGGTTCTGCCTGTGGCTCCAACTGGAGATTAAATCTAGAAAAACTAAAGACTTAAATGAAGTAAAGAAAAGAAAGTTTAAATTAGAATAAAAACTATATCTGAGCAGAAAGTCGGCACGAATCAAAGGTTTGATTTTAATGAAGGAAAAGTATCAGAACTGTCCCTGATCCGACGGTTCTGGTTCTGCTCAGTAAAAAGGACATGGCGACCCGACGGAAGGAGCTGCTGGAGGCCGTCTCCCCCGCGCTGCTGGACTACCTCTGTGCCAACGCCGCCACCATGGTGAAGGACAAGGCCACCAGCGTCACCATCAGCGACATTCTGGCGTCCGCCTGCGGGGACCTGCGGCCCGCCATGACAGCCGTGGCCCAGCTGGCCAATCAGGAGCTGGTGCCGGGAGGCGTGGATGGAGAGGTGAGGCAGCCACTTCCTGCTCTGCTTTTCTAAACCTTCCTTCACGTTTCTTTCCTTCCTTCCTTCTTTCCTTCCCTTCTTTCCTTCTTTCCCTTCTTTCCTTCCCTTCTTTGCTTCCTCCCTTCCTTTCCTTCCTTCCTTGCCCTCGTTTCCTTTCTTTCCTTCGTTGCCTTCGTTTCCTTTCTTGCCTTCGTTTCCTTTCTTTCCTTCGTTTCCTTTCTTTCCTTCGTTTGCTTTCTTTCCTTCGTTTCCTTTCTTTCCTTCGTTTCCTTTCTTTCCTTCGTTTCTTCCCTTAAAATGATCAGCATTGTGAAACAGTTGACGGTGAAAAATGACTTCTGATAAAATGATAAACTGTCTCCCTCTGCTGGAACCTTTACGGTCCTCATCATAATAAGTAGAGGCAGCATGGTGCTGTGGGACAGGACGGGTAATTGGGACGGCGTTTTGAAGCGGTGAATGGGGGTCATTCAGCGTTAGAACGGCCTAGTCAAAGTCCAGATCTAACCCCATCGTCTCCTCCGTCCTGCAGCTCCACATGGCAGAACACGCCGCGGGACACCTGGTGCTGAAGTGGCTGATCGAGCAGGACGCCGTGTTGGCCGAGGCCGGCAGAGAGGGTGGGCGGAGCTCCTGGCGTAGAGGTCAGTGTTCCAGCGTGTCTCTGTCTCTGTCCTCACTGATGTCTTCTTGTCCTCAGCAGAGCGCTTCAGCAGGATTCTGGTGGACACGGTGGGAACGGAGACCATGAAGAGCTGGGCGAAGGTCAACAGAGGAGCCATGGTGCTCTGCAGGTCAGCGCCGCCCGCCTCCTCCTCCATTAGTTCAGCTACAAGCAGAACTCTGATTCTCTCTGATCATTAAAGTCTGACTACTTTTTATTAT